CTCGGACATTGGAGGCTGTTTCGTTCTACACTGAGAAGTTTAACCCTTTTGAATTTACGACAAATCCACGTATCTTCACTGCTAATGCAGCCATGCTTATATTTCTACTCCGGTAATGTGAAAAGAATATAGCTATTGGTGCTCGATAGAGGGTGGAACAACAGCACCTAACTACTCCAACTTCAGTGAGAGTATGTCTCCACCTACACAAGCTCTGTCAAGACATACAAGAAGTCTCCCAGGTCTATACCGTTTCTGACAAGTCTAGAAGCTCTAGACATGTGGTTCACGACAGAGAATATCAACCAGCCACAATTTGGACAACTTTGAACACTACGAGAATGATGGCTCTCGGTTCTTCTAGCTTTACCGAAGATGGTGAATACGCCCTTATGTCAACCCTCCTAGGGAAAAGAGTCGAGTTGTTTTTTCAAGCACTTGCTCCTCCCACCATTACTGTTTCTGGAGTCTTTCTTCCACATCCTCAAGATCTTTACGACGAATTTCCTCATCACTTCTCGTTTGGTGCTTCAAACGCCGAGGTTAGGGCCAAAGCCTTACCACATAATTTCAGCATGTATGTTGTGAAAGGATGTCTTTTTGTCTTCGCCAGAGAGCAACTCCCGGAACTCGTAGATCGGACAATGGTCAATTACAAAGACTTAGAGGTGCCAAAATTCGTTCTTGATGTCATTGAAGAATACAATATACCCAAATCTCTTCGCACACCTACCGAGTTCTTCATCACTGTCGTTGATATGGTTGTGCACTCTCCACCTGAAAACTCAAAGATCAATTAACAGAACATGGCAGAAAGTATTCCGGGTAGGAATTTTGAAGAAAATCAAATTCTTCACCTCATTAGACTCTGTGTATGTTGAATGGAAGAGCTCGATATCTTCGATTTTCTTGAAGATGTTTGCTTGATATTCGCTAAGAGGATTAGGAGAACAAAGGTTGGTGGAGATCCATCGACGTATCTCATGGGGTTATTGAGATTGTGCTGAAACTGCTTACACCCATATTAGACTTTTACTTATTTTTTCCGGGTCTGGATGTACTTTGATCTTGGATATTATGTGATGTATATAAAAAAAAAATCTATGTGTGCAAGGGCTAGACCTCAGTCTTCTCAGATATGATATCTTGTATCCTTTGACATTATTTAATATGAATTTTTTTCTCCCTGTCCTATCCTCAATTGGGTACTCTTTTCATGTTGATTGCATTTTCACTTGTTATTATCAGTCACCTATTTACATTGATAAAACTCTGAAATTGCTTGTGCTTGCAAACTTTTATAACTTTGTTAGATAATATAGTGTCTTTAGACTCTTTAAAAAATTTCATTTAGTGTTTCAGAGCTAGAGCAAGCAATACGCTTGTTTGAAGGGACCGCGGAGTTGTTTCTTACGTTAGTTGTGTTCGACCATGATAAGGAAACATGAATGGAGGAATAATTAAGATTTTAGATAGAATAATTTAGAAAATGGCAGAATAGTCGCAAGTATGACTAAGAGCACCTCCATCAGAGGTTTTAATGGAGTTTTTAAGGTCGTAAGGTT